GATGGTCGTTAGGGACGAAAAGTTCTGGAGTGGTGACCATGTACTGGAAGGCGAAGCGTGGGCAGGCCTCTCACAAGGGGGACTGGCCGATTTGATCAAAGTCACTGGATGCGGATGGCACAAAACCGGCCGATACTTTCTTCTATCGCATCTTTGAAATCTTTGTCATAGATTTTTCTTTTTTTCCAATGTAAATCTAAAAATATACGTGTATCCATCTAGTTATATTTTTCAGTTTAAATTTATGATTAAAACAATTAAACATTCAAGTTGAAATTATATACAAAACATCTCATTTTTTTATATATAATAATTTATAATTTCAAAAATACTACAAAGTTTAATGCGAATTGTGTTAATATTTTATATTACTCTTTTGTTCATTTAATTAAGCAAAAATATACAGAGGTATATTTTAGAAGTATTTAGAGACATATGTATATATTCTGAGCATCAGAACTTATAGCTGACCTAGCAAAGTAAATTATATGAGCATTATTATCCAAAACAGAAAATTTCCTAAGCAGAAAACTTGCTCACTAACTTTTCCTTTAATGTAGTATGTCTGACATTTAACTCGATCGTATTATATTACTTTGCTACAAATATCCGGGGAGATGCGGACCAGTGTTGCCGCGATAGCGGATATAGATATCATTTTACATTGATCACAGCATGACATAATCAAGAAAGAAATCTTCATTGATGGCTTGCCGTTTTTACTTTAGCTTTTGTAGCCTTATAGCTTACAAATATCAATAGCCCAATATGTACCAATATATACCAAATCAATATATACCAATAGCTTACAAATAAGGAAATCATTGTTAAAATAACGTCTTTGTAAATTAAATTAATCTAGTTTTCTAAAGCTCATTTTTACTTTATCTCACACGACTCTCGATCTTAGCGACTCGTGTTTAAATATTTCATGGTACTCACATTTTTTTAATTGGAAGCCTTTTAACTGTTTCTTAACAAACATAAATCGATATTATATAACTATTTACAGCCCTTGCCCGTCCCTACCCACATTGGATCGCTTTAGCAAATATGTAGGTACGTAGAGCTTATAGCCTAACTTAGAATCTAATAATAACTATAAGAGTGACTAATAAGACCAAGACCTATTACAATTTTAGATTTTGCCTTATTAGTTTCCTCACCTGTCTTAGTTTCGTCGTACACACAATGAAGAAGTAAAAAACATAAAAATAGACATTGAATCCAAAAATAAATTTGTTTCTATCTCAAATATATTGCGTATGAAACTCACAAACGTAGCCTCTGTTATCTCTTTTGTCAACAAGTTTATTATATTTCTTAATCCATTTCAAGCCTTAAAGAGGGCGACAAGTGTTAACACCATTCGAACTGGATTAATTTAACCTAAAACGTGACCGAATAAGTTGACCGAATGACCGAATTGCGTTCAATAGCTTCAAGAGAAAAGAGGTTCTTTTATAAACACCTAATGTCGATCTTCATAGATTTGTTAAGTGACACATGCACACTTTTCTTTATAATTTTTGTGTACATCATTTCATTATTATGAAGTAGAAAAATAAATTCGAATCCCAACTGGCACTCCTAGAAGGCACGAAATAAAGAATTGAATTGAAAAATTCGAACGGAGTGAAAGAAAAATGAAAGTTTAAATAATAAAAGCCCGGTTACGATAAAGAAATGAATAATATATACTAATATTATAAATGTGAAAGTTTGTGAGTATCTGGATAATGGATGTTCTCTTTCACGCCAGAATGGCTGAACGGATCTGGATGAAATTTGATACAGATAGATTATAGTCTGGAATAACACATAGGTTACTTTTTATCCCGGAAAAGTATACGGTTCTCAAGAGATTTGTTTTCGTTTTTCTAGAGGTGAACCCGAGCGAAACGAGGGTGAGCCACTAGTACATTATATTTTTAATTAAACCTAAAAAATAATGCTTTGCTAAGTTTCACTCTATTTGTTCGATTATATAAAAGATAAACATACATCAAATTGAAAGCTGAGCAAGTGTGAGAAAATCGTACACTGAAATGTTTAGAAACGCTTATTCAATTTTGTAGCAAGCACGTTCACTTAATTGTAAGGGAAATGGAAATGTAACGAAGATGAAGAAAATTGTAGATCGAATGAAATAAACAATAAGATAAATTACTTGACAGCGGTGCGCAATACGAACTTGAAATGAGTCCGGCAAAACTTAAATCTAAACATAGTGTTATAAAAAACTTGTATACCTATTCGGACCCTAAGATATGTTTAACTATTGGCTGTTATTATCTGTACCTTCTTCGAATTTTCATATCAAGTTATTATATTTAATTAGGTTATATAGATTGAATACGAATTCAAAGTTTCTGGGTAAATATAGGTTTGAGATCCATTTGGTCGGCTAACTTTAGATAATGTGAATGTTAAACCGTATCGATATGTGCTAGGGACTGCCATAATAGTTGTACCTTATTTAACAGAAATTCATGTTTTATTATTCGGAACAAATATTTGGGAAAATTATAAAGATATAAAGTACACTTGTGATAAAAATATCTTGAGTTTTTGCAGTAAATAAATCCTTTAAACCTGAATTCTAACCTCCATATTTTTTAAATATTTTGTGAACTTATTCTCGTCTGTAGCTCTGTTCGCATGGCCCATAATTACGTAAATAATAAGTTATACGTTGAGAATAGATAAGCTATCGCCATTCTGAGTTTCTCAAATCTTTTGAGCTTGTAGTACGAAGAAATAACAACTGTCACTGAGTTGAGACTTCGCATATATGTATGCAAGTGTTTACATAGGTTGAGCCTTCTTTAAAAGTGAAGGATCGACGTATTTTTTTACGTAACGTAGAGATAAGTAATTAGCCGGATAGTGGTACTGGCTACTTTTGATCTCCGCTACATCAAGTGTTCCCGGGGGAAATTAATCACTTCAATTTATGTTGCTTAGGGATGCCCCTAATTGAATATATTTAAAACTTGCGTATTTAAATTACGTTATCGCAGTACATGATTATGATATAGTAGAAAAGTTTTAGAATATAACAAGGATATGATTTTTATGAAAATTATTGAATAAAAATTATTATTGTATATATAAGAAACAAAATATGTACTATTTGTAATAATTTGTTAAGTTAATGTAGTCTGTAGGTGTGTCTACACTTGCATGGTAAATTCTTCATTAAGTTTTGGTTTAAATGTATATTTTTTTACAAAAGTTTATATATTTTTTTTCTGTTTTAGTAAGCCACACTAGGCTTATTTATTTATTTTATTGGGTGTGGTGCCGAGGTCGGCCCTAGCTAGATAGGTCGACTAGTTTTGGTCCATTGTAGCTCACACTAGGCTTACTAAAAGCCGATAAAAAATAAGCTTACCAAGCTAAAAATGATGGTATGAAAATTCCGATAGATATCGGAAAAAATTGCTATACGAATAGTCTGTCTCTATTGTATATGTTTCTGGCTTAGGAAAACCATTTAGTGATTGAAACTAATTTGAAAACACTAACGATCATTTTATAGCGGTCTCATGTTAAAAACATTTAAAGACTAACAATAAATTTGAAACGTGTCTACGAATAAATTAATTAGTATTTGCGTGTAATGAATGATATTTGAATGTGAATTTAATATTATAGAGTACTAGAGTACATGCCTTATATAGACAAAATTCATATTACGATGATATCTTACCGAATTATAGATATAAATATGGTGCCTACGCCCCTTTGTCTAGAATATATCTGGAAAAAGTAAACATAACTAAAAATGTAACTGAAAAATTAAGTAGGTATACATAAGGCATATGAAAGAATAAATACTAATGTGTAAATTTTTTTTGTTTACTTTATTTAGTCATAAAAATATCATGGCTTTCACGCTAAAAACAGATTTTGCTTAATACGTATTGAAATATACATATTTTGCTTTCCAGAAAAGTATTTACTGTGAAAAATTTAGTAGATTTATCAATCACAGCTTTCGCATTCTATTTACACACAGTAAAGGTCAACAGTGTATAGAGTGATACGTCCACTAAAGTAGAAAGCTTTTCGGTGGACAGAATTTTATTTAATTAGTTTTAAAATAGTTTTACTTTATTTTTTTGAGGTACATGTTTTTCTTCTCTTACATTACATTATTATGTCATTAAAAAAGGGAGATATTATATTATGAAAACAAATAATATAACAACAACAGTATAAATATACAGAATACCTTTATAATTTAACATAGTCTGGCATTTAATTTCTTAGGTAAGCAACCTAAATATGAAATAAAATTACACTTACAATTATCGTAAAGGTTTCGGGATTTATTTTGTTTATTAGATACTGTCTCTTATTTTAGATATTTTAAGCCTAGAAATTGCCGCTAAAAGTAAAATAATTAAAACCTTTGTTTAATATTTATAAAATCATTTTAGATTTAACAAATATTCCATTAACCTATAAATTCTTTTCTATCTATACATATGATAAAATTGTAACTGAATCTGCACATTAAATATTTTTTGAAAAATCTTATTTAAATATTCATTATTATCGATACAGAGGCCGAATTTATAGTATACATTTTTTGTCTGTCTGTGTCTGGGAACGTATCACGAGAAAACCACTGAACTGTTCATCAGATTTTGATGAAATTTGGTATGATGATAGCTGGTTATCCGGGTCAACTTACTTTTACTGCGGGAAAATATTTCATATCTGAGGAATCTGTTCTAACCGTTAAAATGTACCTAGTCGCGACCTCGCTAGTTTACTATAAGACAATCACACTAAAATATTTGTAACTGACATGTTAAAGATTAGTGCTTGATAGACATTAACAGTTTTAAAAAATATTGAGTACTTCGAACGAAACATATCAAATATTCGCGAAATTTTAATAAGTATTATGTGAATTAGTAGAGAGTGTAAACGCTGTTAGTGCTAGTACAAAATCATCAGAATGTTACTTATTGATATTTTTTCAGATTCGCGATTTCTTGGAGCCAATTGAAGTAATGGCGTCGCTGTTGGCCGCCATCGCTCACGATATGGACCACCCTGGCGTCAACCAGCCGTTCTTGATTGCGACATCGAATCATCTTGCTGCTCTTTACCAGGTACCTTAGCCTAGTTATTTACAACTAGTGAAATACTTTCACATCGAGCGGATGCATTCGTAGATGGCTATATAAACCTGTATGCTATCCATGGTCATAATCTATCTGTATACTAAATATCATCAAAATCCGTCCAGCTTTTTAACATGAAGGAATAATAAACATAAACATAGACAATACAAACTTTCGAATTTATAATATAATTGTTTTATATATAAGCTGATTCCCCATACAAACTTTTACTCCCATTTTCACTCCTTACGGGATGATTTCCGGGATAAAAAGTATTTTGTCCTTCCCAGGTACAAACAAACAAAAAGAAACAAATTTTTCCTCTTCATAATGTTAGAATAGATATCCCGTTTTTTTTCCAATTGGTAAATATTTTTTATAAATTTTAGATAAAATAAACAAGATAATAAGATGTTAAAGAGAAACCTTTTAATAAACAAACGATTATTCCCGACGCCGTCTAATCCTCAAACACTTTGTTCCAAGTGTACCGAACTGATTGAACTAATACTGGGATTAATTAAATTAACTTTTTTGTTCAAAATAATAATAATGAAAGAGGACTTTTCTGAAACCGTCATTTTGTATATTTATAAATTTATATCTGCGAGCTCAATTTTGCGTTACAATTTAATACAATTTTTGCTGTTCAAATAGTTAAAAGTAAATTTACAGAAAGATAATGTACATTATAGTTAACCTATACATTGAAGTAATAACTAAATTAATCATAAATCTTAGTTAGACTTCCAAATTTATTAAGATATGCTATTAATAGATTTATATGTTGAAAATGTCCCCAAGTAATCGCTAATTTCGTGCTTAGCTGGATATAATCATGTCCTGCATTTCAATTCAATTACGAATAATTTCAAATAACTAGAGCAGCCGTAGTGCAGATCACTCAGCCGCTCAACATTTGTGCAACTAATGAATTGCACTACTCTGACTTTAGCAGAATACACTAGAATTACGCTATAAGCACAATATTTGAAATCGTTGTTCAGGATATACCCCAATTTATAAAGCTTTTCAATCAAATTCCATAACTACGAACTTTATTTTACAAAGTAGAATATAGATAGTTTTCGAAATCGATTTTTACTATTAAATATGTGTGGTTGTTACTTCCCTATGTTCAAAGTAAGCTGGTTGGTAATACATATGTAATGTAGTATGGCATGTCGTAGACCATCTTTAGACTGAGATCCATTAGATGAACAAATGATTTTTTAGCGTTGCAATTATTATATATGTATAATCATAAAGAAATTTAAAAAGTTAAAATATTAATTTAGATTGTTTTAAGTTCAAATATTAGGCAACACTATTGTTACCTTTATTTTATTTAGATTGATATGATTTTTTATATTTGTTTGGGTTATACCAAATACTATTACTACATATGTTTGATTATTGCAACCGCTTACACCCAATTCGGTAGACTTGACTGCGTAGGCTCTTAAGTAAAGGGTAAGGTAAAGTAGGCGGTACCCTAAAACTGAATATTTTTATTATACGGAAACATTTTTATGCTATATTGTTTTTTGGAATTAAAACAATCTTCTAAAAGTCGGCTCAGCCTTCACCTGCGCCGCTCGGCCTTTATGTTTTACTGAAAAGCTTCTATTCCAATTTATTTTTTTCCAACACCATTTCTCAGTTACACGATTCTTATAATTACCTTTTTAAGTACTATTTACGCTTACAAATTCTATCAGATTATCCTTAGTTATGCTTAGAAAAGCGGCTTTTGTAGAGTTTTATGAAATATATTTAATTAAATGTCAATTTTTTTTATGAATTCTACGTTAATATTACAAATATTTATACATATACTAGCATTGCCCGCTGCTCCGCCCGCGTTCAGATGACCAAAAGCCAAATTCTTAGGTTTTACATATTAGTGTACCTCTTACATTGCAGTTTTTGTATTTTTCTCAAAAATGAGATATTTTTCCGCGGTAAAAAGTATCCTATATGTTGTTGACCCGGATAACCAGCTACCATCATACCAAATTTCATCAAAATCCCTTACGTGGTTTTTCCGTGATGCGGTAACAGACAGACAGACAAAAATTCTAAAAACTATAGATTCGGCCTCTGTATCGATAATAATGTCTATTTAAATAAGATTTTCCAAAAAATATTTAATGTACAGATTCGACTCGGTTAGAATTTTATTATATGTATAGATTATAACACTAACTTAGCGAAATCTATACATGTTCATTTAAATAGTGACTTTAACGTACTGTGTACAGAATATAGACCACAAAAGATATTAAAATTTTTGTCTGTTTGTCTGCCTGTTTGTATGTTCGCATTTCACGCAAAAAGTACTGACCGATTTTGACTAAGTTTTGTGAAATGATAACTTATTACTCGGGTAACACATAGGATATTTTTTAATATAGGATTTTTTTCATTCCCACGGGTAAACACAATAACGGGTTCTATGAAGTCGTCCTTAGAAATTTATTTGGCTAACGCTGGCTAAACTTTGAGAGATACATCAAAACAATGTACTAGAAAATTGTAGGTTTTCATAAGGACTACAGAAAAATCTGCAATAGCATAAGTCTTTCTTCTAATGTACACTCGCAATAACTATTCATATCCATTTAAAACGTATCTAGGGACTCACCCGAGTAAAGCGAGGGTAAGTCACTAGTTAGGAATAGTAAGAGTCGTGGAGTAGGATTATAATTAAAACTGCATTCACGTATATGTGGAATGGACGTTGACAAACACTCAGTAATTGAACTCTAAATTACATTTGTGAATATCAACTTGGTCCAAGTTACTTAATACCACCGATTACGGCAAGCTAGGAAGTATAAAGCTACAATTTCAACTATTACCTAAGGCAGAATAGTAATTATGTCCATTTTACCAAAACTACGAGTACTTTTTTGAAAGCGATATATTATATATATAGCGATATATATATACATATATATATATATATATATATATATAATCTGAATCTCGGGAACGGCTCCAATGATTTTCATGAAATTTAGTACACAGGGGGTTTCGGGGGCGTTAAATCGAGTTAGATTAGTTTTGTGTCTGGGAAAACGCGTGTTTTTCAGTTTTCATGCGGTTTTGTTTCGCATTATTCCACGCAAAATATGGTCGCTAATTCGCAAGTTAAGACATAAGCATCGTGGTCAAACGGCCAAGATGCAAGTTTGACATTCACAGTATGTCTGGGTTCGTATCCCGGTTGGATACAAAGTTTTTACTTTTGTTTTGTTTTTATTTATAAAATTTTTAGTTTGTTTTCTTTTTAAATGTTATATGAAATATAGCAATTTTTGATGTGTAACATCTTTCCTCTCGCTTTCCTGCAATATGTGAGAGAGGTTTCGTGAAAAGCGTCGGAAGTGTGTATCAGGAAGCCGGGAAAGCGCGCGCTATTTGATTTGACCAATGAACAGGCGCTGTTTAATTAGACCAATGAGCGCACACGGTCGTAGAGTTGGCCGTCAGATGGTACCAACCCATTTTCCGATAGGTTGGTACTGTGAGCCAACAGTGTGTGCGTGTATGTTATGAGAAACAATTTCTTTTATACAATTTTGCACAGATCTTCTAAACGGGTTATCCGATTTTCATAATTCTAATTGAAATATTAGTTCTAGACCCAAACCTATCTTTTGAGACTAAAATTATTGAAATAATCACTATACACCAAAAATCCCCTTTTTTTTTTATCGTCGGGAAATGCATTTACGCATACCACCTGATCCCCCAGGTGGTGATGTGGGGCTCACCGGCTAGAAGAGCCGGTACTACCCACTAAAACCCGACATTCCTTCCCCCCGCCTTAGTGGGACGCCGCAGGATCGCTTGCGCATAACTACTACGGCGCCCCGGCGGCAGGTCTGCCTAAATACTAGGCAGACCACCAAACCAATGGGGCTGCTCTACAGTCAACTCTTCTACGTCAGAGAGGTACCCGGAGCAGCTCCATTAAACCTAACCACCGCCCACCGAAGTGGGCCACCTCCAATCGGCTGCAGAGGACAGGGAGAGCGGCAACGAAACACCGATACTCCTCTTCCCCTGCAGCCCCACCGCGTCCGCCATCAAACGGTGGCGGCCCCGTCTAGGCCGCGGAAGGTAGGGAGAACGGCGCACCGAAATACCGGCACTCCTCTCCCGCCGCGGCCTACCCCTCCGCCGAATGCGGGCCTGCGACCACAGTCCCGCAACCGGCACCCATCATCCGGTTGTGGGACCAAGCGGTCCCACCACCGGTGGCCGCAACGTCTTTGGCTCGAGGCCTAGACGAGCGGCCCCATCCAAGCCATTTGGTCCGCGCCGGATTTCTCCGGTACCACCCGCCCCTCTAAGCGAGTGGCATGCCCCTATCCGCCACCTGGGGACGCGCCCGGTAGGAGTTGGCTTCTCCCCCGGGACACCAAAAATCCCCTACTTTAACCTTACATAATTAGACAAAAATTCTAACAACATTAAAAATTGTCTTCAATCTTACTTTAGTCGATCTAATTAGATTACAACAGGAAATCAAATTGCAAATTTAAGTTAAATAGTCTGGTTAGAGTACAATAAATATAGTAAGATGAGATATTAGATATTACACATCTTATGCGACTACTTTAAGCCTCGCTCGTTTTATCTTTTACCCTATTCTGTAATACCCGGCATAAACTTCATATACTCGAAAGTATCAATGTCGTCTCTCTCGGTCGCGACTCGTGGTCTCAATCATACGTGGCCGTCAGAACAATATAAATATGTTTGTCAATGCAGTCGCCTTGGATGTGACTGGTGCACCGACTAAGCAATATCGTTAAGGCACCTATTAAGGCGTAATTATTATTAGAAAAACTAATAAATTAATTGAAACGGCAATGATTGTTAGAAAACCTTATAATTTAATTTCATAAGTCATTAATATTAAAAATTATCTTGGACATAATAATAACATGTTTTAACAAAATTGGCATGACTTA